CTCCTGCCTATTACTAGAAGAACCAATCTCAGCAGAAAATTGCAACCTTCCCACTGACTTGCCCCAAATATGAAATTTAATAAGCATGCAAAAAATGTTAAAGTTTTAATAAACATTTCTTGCCACCGTATGATACTTTTTCTTGCTCACCTTAGACCCTGAGTTTTAGGAATGGAAAGAACCAGAAGCTGTACAGCCTGACCTCCTCATTTGACAACTGACAAGAAAAATGATGTGCAAAGAGGGAAGGTGACTTGTCCTGAGTCACCCAGATAAGTGCTGATAAAGGCTGGATTAACAGCCAGATCTCCCAGGTCTCCAGCCCCAACTTCTTCCACTACACCAGGCTTTCTTATCCACTGGACTCTCTGGAGCCCTCGGCCTAAAGAATTAGTATCACTGAATTTTAAAGCTACTAGGGACCTCAGAGAGAGTCATACTTAATCCCCTCATTACGCATAGAAGGAAACTGAGGCTCAGAGAGATTAAGTGATTTGCTCTCAATTTTGAGTGGCAGAGCTGAGAACTCTGCAAACCAGTGCCCATGAGAAGTGAGGGACGGAATTCTAGACCAGGGTGCCTTCATGTGCAGTCCCTGAGCACCGAACTTGGAATTCTAGACCAGGGTGCCTTCATGTGCAGTCCCTGAGCACCAGCTTTAGCATCAACTGCTATCTGGCTAGAAACACAAAACCTCAAGTCTCAGAACACGGAATGTGCCAATCAGACAGCTTGGTTCCCTTCTGTTCCCACACAGGAGCTCCAGTGCTCAGCTGAAGTTGGCTTTGCCACTGTTGACTATGAGCAACAATGCTTATGATTTATGCTTTCTTCTACATGTGCATAAGACACCAACTGAAAGCTTTCTAACCTAAAACAAAATGGAAAACATGCTTGGGCATTCAGTGCTGGCTCTGCTGCTTACTGGCTATTTGAGTTGAACAGACTGGGAACCTACCTCCCTAACTTCAGTCTCCCATTCCGTGAAGTAGTCACACCATCTACATTTGGAGGATGTGCTGAGAATTATACCTGACAACACGTCTGCAAGCACTTTAGTTCTGTCTCTGGCACACAGACAGACAGATAGACCAGCACAGTGGTCAGGAGCTCTGGCTACGAAACAGAACAGCCTGAGTACTGCCTAGCTAGACACCTTCAGTTAGGTCTCAGTTTCCTCCACTATAACATGGGGATTAAAACAGTTCCTCATGCTGAGTGTGATCATGCAAGCCTCTAATCACAGCACTCCGGAGGCAGAGGCAAAGGCAAGCAGCAGGTAGATCTTTGTAAGTTTGAGGGTAGCCTGGTCTACAAGCCAGCCAGGGTTACATAGTAAGTCTCTGTGGGGGTGAGGGGGATTTCCTCCTTGGCTAGGGATAGAAAACTCAGTTGTTGTATGATATTTTGTTTATGTTCTGACAAATAAAGCTTGCCTAGAGATCAGAGGGTGAAGCTAGCCACTAGTTAACCATAGAGGCCAGGCAGTGGTGGCACACACCTTTAATCCCAGCACTTGGGAGGCTCACACCTTTAATCCATAAGGTAGGTGAAGAGAGGACCCTCCCCCACAATTTGGTCTGAGGATTTGTAGAGGTAAGAAGTTTCTAGTGGCTGCTGCTCCTCTTCTCTGATCTTTCAACTTTCGCCCTCGATATCTGACTCTAGGTTTTTATTGTTAAGACTAATTAGGACTGCGCTTCACTCAGTTGAGTAGAGTGCTTGCCAAGCATTCGAGAAACCCTGGTTCTGTCCACAGCATACCATAAACCAGGTGTGTGGTGCACACCTATAGTCCCAGCATTTGGGAGGTAGGACAGGAGGGTCAGAAATTCAAGGTCATCCCTGACAACATAGTGAGTTTGAGGACAACTCGGTCTACATAAGACCCTGACTTAAAAAAAAAAAAAAAAAGAAGGAAAAAAGAAAATTCCTCATAGGGCTGTTGTGTGCATTTAGTGAGGATGCAGGTAAATAATTATTTCATGTTAGGCTATCACTGTCTTCTAAGCCCTTTCACTTCCACAAGCTCATCTGGTCCTCAAGATTTCCTATAGGAGGATGGGAGTGTTTGATTGATTATAAACTAGACTCTAAGCACCACTGTCTTCACAGACAGGAATGGAGGTAGACCTGCTAAAAAGGAACAGAGCTGCAAATACAAGACCAAGATTCTGTTGACACGTTAGCCACTGCCTTGGCCTGTCAGTCACCACCTTGGCCTGTGACTTCAGGAACAGAGCAGCAAATACAAGACCAAGATTCTGTTGACACATCGGCCACTGCCTTGGCCTGTCAGTCACCACCTTGGCCCGTGACTTCAGCTAAGTCTATCAGACCAGAGTTCTTATTCAAAACAAGTGGGTTGAATGAAGACATCTGGATCACCTCTCAAGACACAAAGGCTTTCTCCTGGCCCACAGGAAGTCCTACAAAGGCTGTCATCTACCTCCACCTCCAGCTTTATCACCGTCTGCTGTCTGCTCACTCACCAAGTTCTGGCCACATGGCTCTTCTCTCTGCTCACCTGATGGGCCTGCAGCCTGTGCCCATAGCTCCTGCTCCTGCCTTCATCATTCTGCCCTATCATATGACTGGCTCCTTCTCAACCTTCAGAGCACTAACGCTGGTTCCTCGGACCCCTTCCCTGACCACTCAGTCTATGGAGGCCCTGGAAGGGGTTATTTACAACAGTGCTGTCCAATAGAAATAGAATGAAAAGTCACACACACACACACACAAAACTTGACATATAAGTTTAAGTTTTGAAGTAGGCACAAAATTTAATAACCTATTTTCCTTAATCCAATACATTAAATGTAATCTACATAAAAATTAAGATACTTCATTTTCATTTTTCCATGATAAAGCTTTGAAACCCAGTGTGTCCTTTACACATATGAAAGAGCTTGATGCATCTGGACCACACTTTCTGTGTCCAGCAGTCGTACGTCCGGCCGCCCCCAAACCATACTCACATTTCCACTGCAGAGTCTGCTATACTCCCTTCACACCACTACCAGCAATCTGAACTTCTTGCTTACTTTCTCAATTTTTCTCTGGTGACTCCCCACCAGATCTGCCTTTCATACAAAAGTAAAAGTCGCCGGGCGGTGGTGGCGCACGCCTTTAATCCCAGCACTTGGGAGGCAGAGCCAGGTGGATCTCTGTGAGTTCGAGGCCAGCCTGGTCTACAGAGTTCCAGGAAAGGCGCAAAGCTACACAGAGAAACCCTGTCTCAAAAAACCAAAAAAAAAAAAAAAGTAAAAGTCTTGTCCTATTTACGCCACATTACATGCTCAGTGGACTCAGTACCTTGTATACAGTAGATGTTCAATAAATCGCTGTAACCAAAGAATGGTCCTTTTCTGACAGTACCACTCCAGATCTGAGTCAACGGACTGGACTAGCTAGCCCCTAACTCCCAAATAAACACTCATCAGAGACTTGCCCACAACTGTTCTTGTTCCATCATTAACTACACTGTCTTGTCTTTTCTTTTTTGGTTTTACAAGACAGGGTTTTCTTTCTCTGTGTAGCCTTGGCTATCCTGGAACTCACTCTGTCTCGAATTCAGAGATCCTCCTGCCTCTGCCTCCTGAGTTCTGGGATTAAAGGCATGCACCACCACCTTCCGGCTATACTGTCTTAGAGAGAAGAATATTATGGCCTCACATCTCCTGGTTGCTTACAAATTCTTTCTCATTACTGGAGTCTCCATCTCTAGGGCCAGTCTTTTATATATTGGCTAAGGGAAATAACCATCAATATTACTATTTATGGACTGCTTTACCCTACAACAAACACTGGTCTAACAATTTCTTAACAGCTTCACAGACCATGAGGTAGGTACCATGAGGTATTTTGTCCAAGGTTACAACAATCAGCAATAAAAAAGAGACTGCAAATTCAGGTCTTATTTTGGGGGGAGTAGGGTCTCACTATGTAGCCCTGGCTAGTCTGGAACTCACAGTGATTCCCCTGCCTCTGCCTCCCAACTTTCAGGCACTGAGATTAAAGGTGTGCAGCAGCAGCAGCTCAGGCTCAGCATGTCATTGTCTACTCTTAACTGCAGAGCTATCACTAGTAACTACACATTTAAAAGTCAACACAAGTGGGTATGGTTGGCTTAAATTGTATTTTATTTCATCCATTACCCAAAATAAGATCATTCAATCAATATGAACAATGATCAAAGCTCATATAATCAATATAAAATACTACTTTGTTCATACTGTCTTTAAAATCCAGTGTGATTTACAATTATAGTACTTTCTAATTCAGACTAATTACGGTTCACAGGTTCCAACACTACTAAGACTACTGAATACCAGCTGGGCACAAGGAGCCTCGTTAGACAGTCAAAAGAGGGTAGAAACTTTGGGTTGGGAGCCTGGACATTTGAGTTTCAATTAATCCCAGCTTGTAACTGTTGAGTGACTTCACCCGTTCACCACAAGTATCCTGAGCAAGGAGGTCAAGACGTCTCTTACCGACCTATCCCATGCTCCGTTTTCCAAACATTTTAACAATTGCGGGAACATGGGCACAGGTTTCTGCGCTTTCAAATGACCTTTCACATATATCCATTTTATAGATTTAAATAAATAAATGAACAAACTGAGGCTCAGCGACGGAGGAAAGACTTATCCAAAGCTACATCGGCAGTTGATAAAGAAACTGAGGCTCAACCCCGAGGAAAAAACAGTGCTCTCCACAACTGCCTCAAGCCCTATGAACTGGTAGAAACGAGACCAAAACTGTGCGGAAGGGAACCGGGCTGCCAGGTGGGAAAGGGAGATCAAAGGGCTCAAGCCTGGAGAAGGAAGGAACAGGAAGGGTCCACGAGGGCTTCGGGGAATGAAGTGCAATGACGGGCTAGAACCCTGGGTAGCATGTGAAGTGAGGGCCAAAGACCGAGAGGAAGGGAGATGACGGGACTCCGGCCCTGAGACCTCGGCGGGGATGAGGGGCCCTCCGGCCCTGACAACTTCACCTACCTGGTAACTTAAAAGTTCGCCCACGTCCATGGTTTCAGACCCAATCAGCACAGGGTCCCTTGGTTACCTCCACTCACTCCCGAACCACGGGCCGCTCAGAGGCTTTTCCTGCCACACTGCCGTAAAGCGCCAGGAGAGGGGCCTCAGAACCAATAGAGTAAAAGAGCGCGAGGCCGGCGGGCCCGCCACACTGCCGTAAAAGGAAGTAGGGCCGTAAAGTGAGCCGCGTTTTGACGGCTGCTTCCGCCTGGATCCTGAAGGGGCGGGAAAGGGGGCGGATTCTTAGGGGAAGGAACTTAAAGCTGCGGCAGTTCTCTAAGTATAGGGCAAATGCAGGGCCGATGGTACCTACCCTTACAAGGCTTCCAGATAAAGAAATATGATAAAGAAATGCACTGACCCATAAGATAGTCACATGTGGCTACTGGGCGCTGAAGTGTGGCTAGTCCTAACTGAGATGTTAAGTGTGAATCAAATGCACGCTAGATTTTCAAAACTTGCACTAGTTACCTTTTCTTTTTCTTTCTTTTCTTTCTTTCTTTCTTTCTTTCTTTCTTTCTTTCTTTCTTTCTTTCTTTCTTTCTTTCTTTCTTTCTTTCTTTCGTTCGTTCGTTCGTTCTTTCTTTCTTTCTTTCTTTCTTTCTTTCGTTCTTTCTTTCTTTCTTTCTTTCTTTCTTTCCCCTCCCTCCCTCCCTCCCTCCCTCCCTCCCTCCCTCCCTCCTTCCCTCCCTCCCTCCCTCCCTCCCTCTCTCTCTCTCTCTCTCTCTCTCTCTCTCTCTCTCTCTCTCTCTCTTTCATTTTGGCTTCCCATTATGCTTCCACTGGACAGTGTTGGCTCACATAATGGCACATGGCCATAGATTATTGTTGGCTGAGAAACCGTTGATATCATATTTTCCTCTGAACTTCTGTGTATTTGTCTACATAAGACCCAATGGCAATTGGATGATCTCCTATCTACCCAAGTGGTATTAAAGGAGCTAATAGGGGTCTGGAAAGATGACTCAGTGGTTAGGAGCATTTACTGCTCTCCAGAGGACCCTAGTTTAGTTCCCAGCACCCATGCTGGACAGCTCATAATTGCCTATAACTCCATTTCTAGAGGATCTGATGCCCTCTTCTGGCCTCCGTGAGCACCCAGAAGCACGTGCACGCACACACACACACACACACACACACACACACACACACACACACACACATTCTTATAGAAGAGGGTTCTGTGGAGGAGGAATGGATGGGGGGGATAGACGGGAGGTGTGGGGGGATGGGAAGAGAGGGGAGACAGGAAACTGGTTGGTAAGTAAAATAAATGAAAAAATTTAATTAAAAGAAAAAAGAAAAAGAGCTGGGTGGTGGTAGCACCCACCTTTAATCGCAACACTTGGGAGGCAGAGGCAGGTGGATCTCTATGAGTTCAAGGCCAGCCTGGTCTACAAAGCAAGTTCCGGGACAGCCAGCCAGGACTGTTACACAGAGGAAACCCTGCCTCAAAAAACAAACAAACAAAACAAAACAAAAAGACAAAAGAAGAAAAAAAAGGTTTCTGGGGAAGAATTTGCCCATTATTGAAGAGTTAAGGAGGTTGTCTTCTGGGATTACATGAGACTCTATCCCCCAAGTGTCACACAAACCCACATAACTGCCTCCAACTACAGGGAAATTGTTGTTCCTCAAACTGCCAAATCCTCTCCTGTCTGCTCACACTTCCTCTACTGCTCACAGATCTCAGTCTGTCATTTTGTGCTGCATGGTTGATGTTTTACTTACTGGCAGTCTCACTAATTGGACTGCAGACTCTCTGAAAGTTGGGGTTGAGTATGGCACCTTCACCTTCGTATCCTAAAGCCTGGAACAGTGCATGGTAGAGAAGGTTTCACAATGGACCTGATTTCATTTCAGAATGGATTTTATGCTGTCTACATTGGGAAGCTGTTGAGATGGTTTAAACAGGGATGTTTTCTGATTGGGTTTCTCTTTTTAAAGGGCGACCTGTGCAAACTGCTTTCAGTAGAGTTCATTTGCATGTCTTTCCCCTCCCATTCGTACAAGTGTAGACTGTGACCTCAAGGGAGGTAGGGCAGAGTAACAGTGAGAGCAAATCCTTTGGGCCATGAACAGGATTGTGTTCTAGGCCATGCCTTGCTTCAGTCGGTTTCCATAGACAGCCTCGCAAAAACCCAGAGTTGGTTTTCAGAGAATTTTCCAGCAGGTTTGCATCAGCCTGGAAACACCCACCCTGGAGTACTTGTGTCATGAAGATCAACCCATGCTACAAATCACAGCTGTCTCTCATTCTTCCAGAGAGTCAGTTGTTAAACATCTTCCAATACACTCTTAGCTCTCGGGCTAGCCAATGTTCCCCCACAGCTAGACTGGCCACATTACTTCCCATCTCCCTAAATTGCAGTTTCCTCATCTATAACAGGACAAGTAATCAATAATATAATCAACAAGTAATTAGTAAGAACCCACTCAATGCTAGATACAGCTCGTGGCTCTCAGAATGCAGCTCACGCGTGCTTGTGTTGGGGAGAGATGTACGTACACGCAAGTGTGGGCGGGCATACGCCATGGCTCACATGTGGAGGTCAGAGGACAAGCTCAGCTTCCACTTTGACACAGTCTCTTGGTTGTTTGCTACTGTGCAGACAAGGCTAGCTGCTCCATGAGCTTCTGGAGATTCTATTGTCTCCACCTCCCATCTCAGCACAGAGCACGAGGATTACAGATGTATGCTGTCGTGCCTGGCTTTACATGGCTTTGGGGATTCAAATTCAGGTCATCATGCTTTCGAGGCAAGTGCTTTACACACTGAGCCATCTCTCCAGCTCCAGCATAGAGCTCTGTATAAAAACAAGGTCTCTTCCTTCTAGGAACATATATTGTAGTTGAGGGGGAGGATCTTGTACAAAAAAGAAAAAATATTGTCGAGGGCTGACATCCTGGGCATGTGCATTGTGCTGCACAGATGTCAATTAACATTTCCTGGCTCAAAGCTTTTGCCTGCACCAGCACGATAACCTCAGCACAGCGCTCCTGGAGACCTGAACTGTTTCCATGTGTGCACCTGTCCTGTATATACCTGCTTAGTCCCCTCCAGGGACTCTCTGCTCCAATTCTTTATTGTCACCTGCTAAAGCACTTGAAGGGAAGGCTGGCCCCTGTCACCATCACTATTGCTCTATTGTGTCACCAGGGCACTATTCCCAGGTACTCCAATAACTACAGGTCCCCAGAGGGGCTGTGGCATCTGCTTGGATCCTCACAATAGCAATGTCATACTGCACCTTGCAGAAGCATGAAGTATAGGTTGTCATTCTCTGGGTGGCACACTTGACTCCCACATCTCCTCTCTTCCCTCCACAGCATCTCACCATATGAAAGTCATATAGTATCCCTGAGTCAGACCAGGCACCAGACACTGTCTTGATACTGCATTTACCACCTACCCCCAAGTGTCACACAAAGCCTCTGAGATTCTTCCCTTTCCTGTAGCTCCCTTATTCCTTCCCTCCCTCCCTCTCCTCCTCCTCACTACTTTCTTTTTCTTCTTCTCCTGCAAACCTCCACTTTATCATCACTCTCTCGTTACCCAGTAGGCATAGCGTTAGGTTGTCACACTCCAAGTCCTGAGATCAGGCCCAGATCTCCCAGTCCTACACAGAGAAGGTTCACAGCAGTCTCTCTGAGTAGTGGAGTAAAGACAGCTTTTATTTTTTTCTTCCTCTTGCTTTACTTTCTCAATTTCTACCTTGAGCCAATATTAAATATCATTAACTGAATAATAAAAAAGTCATTCTTACCATCATAATATTCATAAAGCTACTTGAAAGCCAGGACCTGGAGCTTTGTCAAGTTGCATGCATCTGTCCCCTTTTGGGTGCCTATATCTCCCCAACACACAGCTAACCATCAATTTCTCTCCACGATGAACAACCACTGTTGGTGTTTCAGGAATAGGTTTTTATAGCACTTATTACATTTTATATGTATATTTATGTTGTATGCTTTTATTTCTACCACCACAGTGTTACAGAAAGGATTTCAGGTGGCTTACAAAGATACTTGAAGCACAGCCAGGGAGCACAAGTTAAAAAGAAAGCATGAGAGAAAGGGAATTGTGGGGAGGAGAATAAAGGAAAGACAAATGAAGATAATACAAACAAATGCTTAGTGTCCTGCTGGCATGCTCTGTGAGGCCACGTGTTGGATTTCAGCTACTCACTAGCAAATACTCGGCCAGAATTTTTCCCTCTAATGCCAACCAGCTCACCTGGCTGTACCTCAAATGAATGTATCTGTGGAATAGTTTTGGAAACTGACCCCAGCTGTGGAGGACTGGTGGGTGTGGACCAGTTAGTGGGCAGAGAGAATGGGCAGATGGTACTACCTTCATTTGTTTTCTTTCGTTTTCTACTTTTTTAGATTTATTTTATGTGCATGAGTGTTTCGCTTAAATGCATCTATGTGCATTGTGTGCATGTGTATTATTCTCAAAAGTCATAAAACGGCTTCAGATCTCCTGGGACGGGAGTTACAGGTGATTGTGAGCCACCATTTGGGTGCTGGGAAACCATACCCAGGCCCTCTGCAAGAGAAACAAATGCTCTTAACTGCTGCGCCTTCTCTCCACCCCACATTGGAGTCGTATTTTCTTTTTCTCTCTTTTGGACACCCTCTAGCCTTGGCTGGCCTAGAACTTACTTTTGTCGACCAAGCTGGTTTTGAACTCACAGAAATCTATGTGCATCTGTCTCCCAAGTGCTGGGATTAAAGGTGTGTGCTGCCACACCCAGCTATTGTGGGCAGTTTTTATGATAAAACCTAGTACGAGATAGTATTTGGTTCATAAAAGTCATAGTTTTATTCATTTTAGAGTTATTCTGTCAGTGTTTCACTGCGTTCTGCAAGCAGGACAATTTTAGAGTTCTTGATCACCAACTGGAAAGTTGGGAACAGTGCCACTACTCGACCTGTGGACTGTGAGGTAGCCTGGTCGGCACATCACAGTACACCAAGCCCAGGGGCAATCACAATGAAAGAGTTTAATGCTCTTATTTTTTTATAAACAATGAAATACGATCATATTAACCTTCTTAGAGAAAGGTTTCCATTGCATTTGT